GCAGACACCATTTTTTTGTTTTCTGTTATTTTGAAAGGTAAATGATGGAAATAAAATCTAACTTTTGTTGACATATTATAAGAATGTCTAATCTGTAATTTGATGCCTTTTGGAGATTTTTCCATCTTTCCTTGGCTTCTTTATGCACATTAATACAAATTTTTAGCTGGGGTGCCCAAACATTCGATCCCCACTGTAAGTATTTGAACACCTAAGAAACAGCAAGAATTCTGGCTCTCAAAGACCTGTTACTGTGCCTTTAAAAAGTCTACCTCTACTCCACTCATAAATCTAACTTAATAGCACCTGTCTGAGCTCTTAAGGGGCACCTGTTCACCCCACAGTCAGTCAGACGCCAACTACTACCATGGGCAAGACCAACGAGCTGTCAAAGACACCAGAGACAAAATTGTGGACCTCCACAAGGCTGGAAAGGGCTACGGGGCAATTGCCAAGCAGCTTGGTAAAAATAGATCAACTGTTGAAGCACTTGTTAGAAAATGGAAGAGGCTAAAGATGACTGTCAGTCTCCCTCAGACTGGGGCTCCATGCAAGATCTCACCTCGTGGGTATCACTGATGATAAGAAAGGTGAGAAATCAGCCCAGAACTACAAGGGAGGAAGAGAGCTGGGACCACAGTTTCAAAGGTCACTGTCGGTAGAACACTACGCCGTCATGGTTTCAAATCATGCATTACACGGAAGGTTCCCCTTCTCAAGTCATCACATGTCCAGGCCCGTCTGAAGTTTGCCAATGACCATCTGGATGATCCAGAGGAGGCATTGGAGAAAGTCATGTGGTCAGATGAGACCAAAGTAGAACTTTTTGTTCTAAACTTCACTCGTCGTGTTCGGAGGAAAAAAATGGATGGAGTTGCATCCCAAGAACACCATCCCTACTGTGAAGCATGGGGGTGGTAACATCATGCTTTGGGGGTACTTTTCTGCGAAGGGGACAGGATGACTGCACTGTCTTAAGGAGGATGAATGGGGCCATTTATTGTGAGATTTTGAGCAACAACCTGCTTCCCTCAGTCAGAGCATTGAAGATGGGTCGTGGTTGGGTCTTCTAACATGACAACGACCCGAAGCACACAGCCAGGATAACCAAGGAATGGCTCCGTAAGAAGCATATCAAGGTTCTGGAGTAGCCTAGCCAGTCTCCAGACCTAAATCCAATAGAACATCTTTGGAAGGAGCTGAAACTCCGTGTTGCTCAGCCACAGCCCCGAAACCTGACAGATCTAGAGGAGATCTGTGTGGAGGAGTGGGCCAAAATCCCTGTTGCAGTGTGTGCAAACCTGGTCAAGAACTACAGGAAACGTTTGACCTCTGTAATTGCAAACAAAGGCTTCTGTACCAAATATTAACACTGATTTTCTCAGGTGTTCAAATACTTATGTTCAGCATTGCAAGACAAATAAATTCTTTAAAAATCATACAATGTGATTTCCTGAATTTTTTTTTAATTCTGTCTCTCAGAGTGGTAATGCACCTACAATGTGAATTTCAGACCCCTCCATGATTTCTAAGTGGGAGAACTTGCAAAATCACAGGGTGTTCAAATACTTCTGTTCCTCACTGTATGTCCCTCGTGCTGATTCATTTTGTTTAACTAAACCTAGGGTTTGAACCAGCTACACACATGGGTTTATTTACTAAAGCTGAAGAGTGTAAAATCAGGCTCACTTCTGCATAGAAACCAATCAGCTTCCAGGTGTTATTGCAAAAGCTTAATTGAACAAGATGAGGTTAGAAGCCGATTGGTTTGTATGCAGTAGTGAGCCTGATTTTGCACTCTCCAGCTTTAGTAAATAAACCCCATAGTTACATAGTTGATAAGGTTGGATAAAGACCATACAATTCAACCTAATAGTGTGTGTGCTTGTGTCACTATAGTTTTTAATATCTCTGTACATTGTTTTCACTAAGAAACAAATCTAAAGGATTTTGAATTAATCTACATTCCCTGCTGACACCACCAGTTGCAGTGGAAGAGCGTTCTACATCTTCATCACTCTGACAGTAAAGAACCCTTACACAGTGTAAGATTGAACTGCGTCTTGTCCACCTTCATTGTGTGGCCATGTGTCTTCTTTAGAGACCTAAAATTACATAGTTTCTTCTCAATTATATAGTTACCAAGTAAAGATTTGTATATTGTGATCATATCCCCTCTTAAGAGTCTCTTCTCAACGGAGAATACGTTTATTGTTTGTAGCCTTTCCTCATAACAGAGGTCCCCCCCATCATCTATCCCCCCCCCCCCCCCCAGTTTTGATGCCCTTCTCTGTACACTCTCCAGTTCAAGGACATCCCTCCTGAGGACTAGTGCCCATAACTGGACCGCATACTCAAGATGTTGCTAAACCAATGCTCAGTACATCAAAACTAAAAGGTGTGCAAAGTCTTAGGCCCTGTGTTTGCACATTACTGCAATGCACAGTATTAATGGCATGCCAAAGTAAGTACAGCATGCTGCAGAGCACAGTAATGCATGAGATGTGTTGTTTTGCGCTATAGTAAAACAGTACAGGAGTGATTTTCTTACATTTTTTAAAATGAATAGGCTGCAGTAAGGCAAAGCATATTGCAAATTATGAGTTACCACAAAGCATTCCATCATTAATGACCCCTTGCAGTTAATTTTCTTTAGAAAGCACCCAGACCTTGAATAAAAAAACCTGTCCACTACAAGCATGCTTCAGAGAAGGACTCTTGCTCTCTGTGTGGCATCAGTAGCCTCCAACACAAACATTTCTGATTCAGAGCTAGAGATCTCCAATCAGCAGGCAACACCAGCTTTGCTGATCGAAGAGCTAGAGGTCTGATTCAGCAGGGGACATGTTGGACCTCTGCAGAATGTCTACTACTTCCACACATTGGTCTTCACTGCAGCATAGCAGCAGGTGAAAGGTTTTTCTACTCAAGCTGTGGCTGAGGAAAACAAATGGTAGAGTAGGGTTTCTCAACCTTTTGACCTTGGAGAACCCTTGTCAAAAAGTTTGAGATCTTGAGGAACCCCTGAAATAAGGTTCACATCTACTGCTCAAAGAACATTGATGTAATCAGCAAGCTGTTGATATAATACCAATTATTTTTATAAATAGCATTAAATAATAGAATCAATAATTAAACCTACCTAATACCTATTTAATGTGAAACTTGTGCTTGCTTTTTCTGCAAAGATGGGTTCAACTTAAGTTAAAGCTTTGCAGGAGGGTAGCAGGGCAGGATACAGGTGGTCAGGAGGGCACATTACGTGAGAGCAGGGCACATTACGTGAGAGCAGAACACATTATATGGGAGCTGGGCATATTACGTGGGGGCAGGTCACATTTCATGAGTAGGGCACATTACATGAGAGCAGGGCACATTACGTGAGAGCAGAACACATTATATGGGAGCTGGGCATATTACGTGGGGGCAGGTCACATTTCATGAGTAGGGCACATTAGATGGAAGCAGGACACATAACATGGGGCACAAAGCAGGGCACATGAAATGGGACACACAGCATGGCATATTACATTGGGGACATTACAGTACCATTTTCGGTCATATGCAGAACATAGCGTGATTAGTCCTCTTGTGGCACGCTGTTCCCTGCCGTCCCTCCTCCCCTCCTATCCATCCTATGTGATGTCACATACAAGCAACTTGGTTGGACAGGGGGAGAAGGACCAGTGTGAAATGTTACAGCTAGCACAGCCGTTTCTCTGCCTAGCTCTTCATGTGTTGGCAGGGGGATGCAATCTACCTGTCAGTTGCCTTTGACTGATGGGTACAACACTGCGGAACCACTGGGTAACCCTAAGATTCTGCAGAACTCCAGTTGAGAAACCCTGCTGTAGAGTATTACCCACCTTTTGTTTTGATGCAACTGGAATGTATTTAGCTAATTAAAAATGTAAATTCAGGTGGGTATTAACCCTTTGCTGCCACTAATGTGGCTCAAACATCAGGACACTGCAAGTGTTAAAATGCGCTAGAAGCCATGAGTTTGTTTTTACTTTTTTGCACATGGCTCCAGACTAGTTAGTAAAACAGATAAATAGGATGAAAAATGCAGCCCCTGATGTCCACTACAGATCCACCCAACGCATACGTGTTTTGTCATATTGCTTTCCTCTACTTACATGTTTCGTCACACTGGTTTTCTCAAGGATGCCAACACATACACAGGCAGGCAATGAGAGATAGGACGGTCCATGTGTTTTCATACAAGTTGGTTATTTTTATCAAGTCTTGATAAAGGAGGCCACAGCCACTTGCTCCACATCATTTCCAGCGGCTTTTGTGTCTGTACTGAGCAACACACACGCTCTGTGGACCTTCCTTGCATGCCAGTGTAAGGAGAGTGGCCACTTCAGCTTCATGAGCATTTCATCTACTCGGCCTGCTATTAACATCCTCTCTGGGCAACCCACAGAGTACCCAAGAGAACACATGAGGGCTCTCCCTTGGATTTATGATTATAGATGGGTTTTATACAAGGTTTACCCTTCGTGAGTGCATTGGATTATGCTTTTATTTGTGTTTATTAATAAATAGGGTTATCTGCACTAGGGTTGTGCTCTCTTTGTTTTATTTTGGTTTCACAGTGAACTTGTTCCAGCTGGTACTTAGAGATTTGAATTGACCCCAGTTTTTGGCAGATTGTTACCTTTGTAGCTAGATTAAAGAAACAGTGGACAGAAATTATATAATGTTTTGGATATTTTAAGTAATTTTTCAAACCAAAAATGCAGATTTTAATGTGTGAAAATTGGAAAATTTGCTTTGGCAGCAAAATCTATCAGTAACAAATGAAAATCAGACCTTGTGTTATAAATCAAGAATGATCCTAAACCCGTAAGATATCAATCATTTCATGTTTTAATAGCTATGCATATTGAAAAAGTTACACAAAAAATTACTTCAGGACTCACTGAAATAGCTTTATAACCTATTTTAGGTAGCCTAGCAATGCATTTTGATCCCAGATCCCAGCAACAAACCTTCTTTAGGCCCCGCTGGATACTGCAGTTCTTGCAGGACACAATCTTGGAGTCCCAATGCTCAGAGGCACCACAAGTGAGGCATAGATCAGGGTCACACTCACGGACAGCCAGATAACATGGACACTGTTTGGTATTACACTGTGTCTTACATCTGCATCCAGGGAAGCGGTTCTGACCTGTGGGGGAACACAGGAGGCTAACCCAAATATAAAAGACCAGTGATCAGACAAGGTGTCTCATACAAAATGCAGACTGTTTGCATGTTTGTACCAAAGTAATTAACATCAAAATATCTACCTCATATAAAAGAGCAAATGACAAACTAAAAATTCTTAAAGGGAACCTATATAGAAATATTTTAATGAAAGGGAAAACCTCAAAAGGGTTATTGCACGATACACTCTACTCTTGCCTTACTTAACAAGCACTTTGGTTGGGTACCTGCTATTGTTTTACCGTGTAAACAGCACACCTCCAGCTTCATCTAGTGGTTGTGAAAGTATTGACTGGAGAATCTGAAGCATTAACATGTAAGAGCAAACATTTTTATATTGTAACTACTTTTTTTTATTGTATGGAAGTTACAGAATGAAGACAAAAGTATGCTAGTAAACAGTAATAAGGAGTTACTCATGGAGAAAGAAAATAATGTAGTTTCCCATAGAGGTCATAACTTAACAATATGGGGGGAATTAAAGAGTTGCACAAGCACAATGCCTGCACAACTCTTCTAAACATAAAAACGCAGATGCTGCTCTTAAGGTACGAGTCCCTTTGTTAATTAGAATTGACAAGTTCTCTATTCTGTGGCTGTGGCAGATGCAGCACAGAGAGCTGGAGCTGCATTCTCTGATCTACAGTCAGGTCCATAAATATTGGGACATCAACACAATTCTAACATTTTTGGCTCTATACACCACCACAATGGATTTGAAATGAAACGAACAAGATGTGCTTTAACTGCAGACTGTCAGCTTTAATTTGAGGGTATTTGCATCCATATCAGGTGAACGGTGTAGGAATTACAACAGTTTGCATATGTGCCTCCCACTTATTAAGGAACCAAAAGTAATGGGACAGAATAATAATCATAAATCAAACTTTTGCTTTTTAATACTTGGTTGCAAATCCTTTGCAGTCAATTACAGCCTGAAGTCTGGAACACATAGACATCACCGGATGCTGGGTTTCATCCCTGGTGATGCTCTGCCAGGCCTCTACTGCAACTGTCTTCAGTTCCTGCTTGTTCTTGGGGCATTTTCCCTTCAGTTTTGTCTTCAGCAAGTGAAATGCATGCTCAATTGGATTCAGGTCAGGTGATTGACTTGGCCATTGCATAACATTCCACTTCTTTCCCTTAAAAAACTCTTTGGTTGCTTTTGCAGCATACTTTGGGTCATTGTCCATCTGCACTGTGAAGCGGCGTCCAATGAGTTCTGAAGCATTTGGTTGAATATGAGCAGATAATATTGCCCGAAACACTTCAGAATTCATCCTGCTGCATTTGTCAGCAGTCACATCATCAATAAATGCTTTTTGACACACATACACCTACCTCCTGGAGAGTGTTCTTGATCTGGCCAACTGTTGTGAAGGGTGTTTTCTTCACCAGGGAAAGAATTCTTCGGTCATCCACCACAGTTGTTTTCCGTGGTCTTCCGGGTCTTTTGGTGTTGCTGAGCTCACCGGTGCGTTCCTTCTTTTTAAGAATGTTCCAAACAGTTGTTTTGGCCACGCCTAATGTTTTTGCTATCTCTCTGATGGGTTTGTTTTGTTTTTTTCAGCCTAATGATGGCTTGCTTCACTGATAGTGACAGCTCTTTGGATCTCATCTTGAGAGTTGACAGCAACAGATTTCAAATGCAAATAGCACACTTGAAATTAATTCTGGACCTTTTATCTGCTCATTGTAATTGGGATAATGAGGGAAAAACACACACCTGGCCTTGGAACAGCTGAGAAACCAATTGTCCCATTACTTTTGGTCCCTTAATAAGTGGGAGGCACATATGCAAACTGTTGTAATTCCTACACCGTTCACCTGATTTGGATGTAAATACCCTCAAATTAAAGCTGACAGTCTGCAGTTAAAGCACATCATGTTCGTTTCATTTCAAATCCATTGTGGTGGTGTATAGAGCCAAAAATGTTAGAATTGTGTCGATGTCCCAATATTTATGGACCTGACTGTATCTGTCCATTCCTGCAGGTGAGGTATGACCATCTGGTGAGGTGACTGGAGTGTGGTATTCACACTATTAATTCTATCTACACTATAGCAGCACTGCTATTGATCTGGTGGACTATTAGGGACTTTCATATGAGATACTTTTGGGACTATCATTTGGATTTTTTTGAGTAATGATCTAGCGCCTCCTGGAATCTATGGACTTTTTGATGTCGTTTGACACGTGCTTTATTATTAAGGGTGCAGCAGCCAACATCTCACAATTTTTTTTTATTAGATGGTTGGATGCTATACACATTTACTTTTATAGCTGAATATGTTATAATAGCTCGTGTTTCTCCAACGTGCAGTGTTCAGTGGTGTATATTATTGTTGTGTAATTGTGCAAACTATCATAAACTTATCTTAAGGTCTCCCCCTAAAGGGATTTTATTCATCACCCAAAAGCTCCTAACACAAGCATGTCCATAGTTTCTCAAACTGATAGGTGAGCTATCTAATTATAACCCATTTGACTATACAGGATGTGGGACCATAAGGAAAAAAAAAAAGGGGGTGGATGGCTGGTGACTCCTCTGTGGAGGGTCTCCTCGCCCTGTCAGATGTCACAAAAAGCCTATGATATATGATGATGGAGTTTTGATAATGTTAGAACAAACAACTGTAGATTTAAAGTGCAGCCAACAGATCCATGTAAACATGATTTATTCAACCTATCCTGGGAAGTGTGTACTAATTCCTGTGTTGCAGAAAACCTATAAAGATAAGAAAACCATTCAGGGCCGTTGGGAATGAGCAGATTTCCAATGTACCGGTAAACGCATTCTTGCAGCATTAACAATGTGCATGGCTAAGGATTTAAACTATTGCCTGTCTGGTAAAGAAGTGTGGTGCAGCAGATATTGCACAGGGGTGAAGTCTAAGTCATATGTAGTCACCTGAGCTACAACCCTATGCACTTTTTCCCTGAATTTTTTGAATGGCTGTACACTGCGACCAAGTATGCAGTAATGAACCACCAGCCTGGTGACATCACCAGCAGACTTTGGAGGTAGATAGAAACACTCTATGTAGAAAAGAAGGTGTCTTATACCACCAAGACCTCAGTTTATATCCACTCTCTTGAACATTGACAGAGAAGGAACCCTTGGTAGCCAATACATTTATAAGTTTCCCTTTCCACCTCTAAGAAACTGTATCCTAGGTCAGCACATGCCACATCCTCATTGGCTTTGTGTAAAACAAACATGCTTAAATAGAGAGTAAACATAACATGCCATTACATGGTAGTGAATGTGCAGAGAGAAGAGGGTCATTGAGATACTGTCTGATTTGTAAGTACGTCCACATCAGGATCTGGAAAGTATCTATGGGGGGAGACAAGTTACCCTCGACTTGTTTTATCCTTAGCTAATAATTTTGTGCTGGGCCAAAAGTCAACCAAAAAGTTGCTGTTAGTGCTAGGAGGGAATTCTGGGCTCTGGAGAGGCAGTGGTAGGAGTCCATGTTCTAAGTATCCATCAGCTCTTTGTCAGCTGTTGCATATTCCCCTATTTTACTTTTAATGTGGTCTGTGTTTTCCTAAAGATCATCAACCTAAGACTGCAGTCGAGATATAGACATACAGTAGGTAAGTCTCGCTGCAGCTCTTTATGAAGAGACAGGAGCAGATAGAATTGTGCAGTAAAATATGTGGCTCAATCTCTTCCGGAATTGCTGTATTAGTTAATGAGGTTGAAAAAAAGATACTAGTCTATCTAGTTCAACCAACAAGAAAACAATATTGAAAACCCCCATATACACAAATCCTATACCCACAGTTGATCCACAGGAAGGCAAAAAAACAAATAAAGCATGATCTACAGTCAGGTCCATAAATATTGGGACATCAACACAATTCTAACATTTTTGGCTCTATACACCACCACAATGGATTTGAAATGAAACGAACAAGATGTGTTTTAACTGCAGACTGTCAGCTTTAATTTCAGGGTATTTACATCCAAATCAGGAGAACGGTGTAGGAATTACAACAGTTTGCATATGTGCCTCCCACTTGTTAAGGGACCAAAAGTAATGGGACAGAATAATAATCATAAATCAAACTTTCACTTTTTAATACTTGGTTGCAAATCCTTTGCAGTCAATTACAGCATGAAGTCTGGAACGCATAGACATCACCAGATGCTGGGTTTCATCCCTGGTGATGCTCTGCCAGGCCTCTACTGCAACTGTCTTCAGTTCCTGCTTGTTCTTGGGGCATTTTCCCTTTAGTTTTGTCTTCAGCAAGTGAAATGCATGCTCAATCAGATTCAGGTCAGGTGATTGACTTGGCCATTGCATAACATTCCACTTCTTTCCCTTAAAAAACTCTTTGGTTGCTTTTGCAGTATGCTTTGGGTCATTGTCCATCTGCACTGTGAAGCGGCATCCAATGAGTTCTGAAGCATTTGGCTGAATATGGGCAGATAATATTGCCCGAAACACTTCAGAATTCATCCTGCTGCTTTTTTCAGCAGTCACATCATCAATAAATGCAAGAGAACCAGTTCCATTGGCAGCCATACATGCCCACGCCATGACACTACCACCACCATGCTTCACTGATGAGGTGGTATGCTTAGGATCATGAGCAGTTCCTTTCCTTCTCCATACTCTTCTCTTCCCATCACTCTGGTACAAGTTGATCTTGGTCTCATCTGTCCATAGGATGTTGTTCCAGAACTGTGAAGGCTTTTTTAGATGTCATTTGGCAAACTCTAATCTGGCCTTCCTGTTTTTGAGGCTCACCAATGGTTTACATCTTGTGGTGAACCCTCTGTATTTACTCTGATGAAGTCTTCTCTTGATTGTTGACTTTGACACACATACACCTACCTCCTGGAGAGTGTTCTTGATCTGGCCAACTGTTGTGAAGGGTGTTTTCTTCACCAGGGAAAGAATTCTTTGGTCATCCACCACAGTTGTTTTCCGTGGTCTTCCAGGTCTTTTGGTGTTGCTGAGCTCACCGGAGCGTTCCTTCTTTTTAAGAATGTTCAAAAAAGTTGTTTTGGCCATGCTTAATGTTTTTGCTATCTCTCTGATGGGTTTGTTTTGTTTTTTCAGCCTAATGATGGCTTGCTTCACTGATAGTGACAGCTCTTTGGATCTCATCTTGAGAGTTGACAGCAACAGATTCCAAATGCAAATAGCACACTTGAAATGAACTCTGGACCTTTAATCTGCTCATTGTAATTGGGATAATGAGGGAATACCACACACCTGGCCTTGGAACAGCTGAGAAGCCAACTGTCCCATTACTTTTGGTCCCTTAACAAGTGGGAGGCACATATGCAAACTGTTGTAATTCCTACACCATTCACCTGATTTGGATGTAAATACCCTGAAATTAAAGCTGACAGTCTGCAGTTAAAGCACATCTTGTTCGTTTCATTTCAAATCCATTGTGGTGGTGTATAGAGCCAAAAATGTTAGAATTGTGTTGATGTCCCAATATTTATGGACCTGACTGTATTTCACTTCAGTGGCGGGGAAAAAAAAAATCCTTCCTGATCCTCCAGGGGGCAATTGGATATTCCCTGAATCAACTACCCCTGGTGTTATTACATCTACACTCACCGGCGACTTTATTAGGTACACCTGTTCAATTGCTTGGTGACACAAATTGCTAATCAGACAATCACATGGTAGGAACTCAATGCATTTAGGCATGTAGACCTGGTGAAGACAACTTGCTAAAGTTCAAACCAAGCATCGAAATGGGGAAGAAAGGGTATTTAAGTGACTTTGAATGTGGCATGGTTGTTGGTGCCAGACGGGCTGGTCTGAGTATTTAAAAAACTGCTGATCTACTGGGATTTTCCCGCACAATCATCTCTAGGGTTTACAGAGAATGGTCCGAAAAAGAGAAAGTATCTAGTGAGTGGCCGTGTGGTGGTTACAAATCCCTTGCTGATGTCAGAGGAGAATGGGCGGACCGGTTGCTGTGAAATTCAGATGGTATTGAATTGGTATTGGTTGGTCAGAATTTGGTGTAAACAACATGAAAGCATAGATCCATCCTACCTTGTACCAACGGATCAGGCTGGTGGTGGTGGTGTAATGGTGTGGGGGGGATATTTTCTTGGCACTGGCAAAGTGTACCTAAAAAAGTGGCCAGTAAGTGTAATTATTACTATCTAGTTATGTTTTGTGCATTTAGGAATGCATCAAGGTCTTTTTTTTTTTAAATCTACATAGCTGGCCAGAACCAGCTCTTGAGGGAGTCTATTCCACATTTTCACTGCTCTTACTTTAAAGAAGCCTTTCCATTTTTTGAGGTTAAATCTATTCTCCTCCAGACGTAAAGAGTACTCCCTTGTCCTCTGTTATGACCCGAAAGTGAATAACTCCAAGTTCACTATATACACCACCTATGTACTTATACATGTTGATCATAGCCTCCCTTAATCTCCTCTTCTCAAGAGAAAATAAATTCAGTTCCACTAATCTTTCCTCATAGCTGAGCTCCTCTACCTCTTATCAGTTTGGTTGCCCTTCTCTGCCCTTTCTCCAGTTCCCCGATATCCTTTTTATGAACTGGTGCCCAAAAATGAACTACATATTCCAGATGAGGTCTTACGAATGATTTGTACCGGGGTAATATGATATCTCTCTCTCTGGAGTCTATACCTCTTTTGATAAAATATGATTATGCTCATTTTAGAAAACTGCAGCTTGGCATTGCATGCTATTATTAAATCTATGATCTAACAGAACACACAGATCCTTTTCCACCATTGACTCCCCCAGCTGTTCTCCTCCTAGTATGTAAAATGCATGCATGTTCTTCACTCCAAGTGCATAACTTTACATTTATCAACATTAAGCCTCATTTGCCACTTATTTGCCCAATTAAACAGTGTATTGAGGTTGGCTTGTAAGTTGGAGACATGCTGTAAGGGCATTATTCCACTGCATAGCTTGGTGTCATCTGCAAACACTGAAATGGTATTTTTTATCCAGACTCATAACTTATTCTAAGAGTAAGTTTCTTTTCACTCACTAGTCCTTTGGTATAGGGAGATTGCAGCAGGGAGCTGGCAGTTCTTTAGTGTGTTGCGGTGAGCCTGCTGCAGTCTTCCATGTCAAGAAAGGAGACTGCGTTCCAAAGAGAGAGCACATCTCCTGCAGCCTGTCACCATCTGGACCTTCTTCTTTCTTCAAGCAGGGGGAAGAAGTCTCTGAGCCTCCTTGGTCCTTTACTCTTATTTCAGCCTCACTACATCTTTCCAGGACTGGTAGGGAGCACTGCCAGGCTGGTAGCGGCAGACTTCTGTGGTCAAAGATGCTGTGTGTTGCTTACAGATTGGATCCAGTCAAGCAGCACTATATCTTGTGGTCATCAAGTCCCATGGCCAGGCGATGTAAAAACTTTTTTTCTTTTAATAACCGTGTGAAGTCTAGAATCCCTGACAGGTTTTATTGCTCTCTGTGTCTCTGCTAGCATTGCCTCTATTTGTATTTGTGAACACTGTCATTGGGACTGCAAGTGAGGGTATATTTTAAATTCTGAGATATCATCAGGACAGAAGTAAAGCTGAAATTGTACAAAAGGAACTTGCTCTGAACTGGTGACAATTATGAGATTCTTCTACAGTCAAAGCTCATGATGCCTTACAATTTCCACATTACAACTGCAGTTAGATCGATCAACAAATACGCTTTACATGGGCCCTTTTAATTGGATACAGATTCTTTTGATAATTTAGTCAGGTCCCTTTATTATATAGTTTTGGTAAATATAAAGTTGGCTGTACCAAGATTGTACAGTCAGAATGCAGTGTGTGAGGACCTGGGAGTTCCTTTCATTTCCTGTTGTCTACAGGACAGGAGGTAAAGGAAAATCTCCCCAATGGGAAACAGATGGCAAAAAAGACAGGATTTTAACTATCCTATCTCCTATGCAAAATATTAAGGACAAGTTTTGGCTTTAGATATGGAAAACACAATCTCCAGGCATAGTGACACTGTATTTAGGTTTCAAGACTGGATTAACAACACCAAACATTGTGGCAGCTATTGGAGTTTATGTGTATAAACTCTTTACCTGTAGCTCAGTACTTTCTGTATAAATCGTTATTCCCACAGGACATGAGCTATGTGTTATTAAACATCTCCCATCAGAATCAGACCTTTCTTAGAAACACATTATAAAGTTCCTATATTGTCAAAACCACTCAATGGCCATAAAATGTTTGTTTTCCTGATTTAGGTATTTATGCAGAAAAAGCATTATGGCCATTAGGTGGAGGCGATGATATAGGAACTACATATATTAGAGCAAAAACAGCGATTTTTGTTCTAAATGTCTGGATGTTTGTCACATCTGCACTAAGAACATTTTCTACATAGACTCCTAAGTGATGGTACCAGAAGTTCAGATATTATTGTATTTTATCATTTCTATAGTAGTTTCCATGTATTCTACAATCAAAAATCAAACCTGCCTACCATTTGTAAACCGCAAGAATGTGATTCTGATAAATCTTGTACATTAATGGTATGTTACTTACAGTCAGGATTGCACTGACAAAATTTTTCACAGAAGTTCTGTGTCATGATGCATGGACAAGTGCTATCACAAGGATGATCAGGATGGTCACAGGGCTGGTAGTTGTACACCTGATTGGCGGAATTGTCTATTAAAAAAAAATTGAGTTTCTTAGTTTTGAAACATTTTAATCACAAAATGTTAACATTTTTCTTCCATTCTGCATCTGTAGACAACAGAACACAAGTGGGAAAACTGCAGCGCTTGTCAGCTACTATGGTGTATTTAAATAAATTTATAATGTGAAACAATGTGTATAATTCCTATGGTTCGCTTACACTCATACACATACCCATATAAATGTGTGATAATTATTAATTGTATTAAATTAGTGTCGCGCTCCACTAAAATATATTAATTAGGTTGTGTGATAAAGTAACAATATTTCTGTGCATATAAAAAGATGCTTAAAATCTCAAATCATTTGTGTGCAATCTGTGCTCTAATTAAAAAGACTTTCATAAATAAAATATATTCGTGATCATTAATAAATTAATTAGAATAAAATATATTAGTGTCCCAAATTCAAATATATAAATATAAAAAATATATAAAAAATTTTAAAAAGTCCACTCCGTGATTACTTTCAGAATAATATTCCTTCTCCTCTATACATTTTTTATATGTATATATTTGAATTTGAGACACTAATATATTTTATTCTAATTAATTTATTAATGATCACTAATATATTTTATTTATGAAAGTCTTTTTAATTAGAGCACAGATTGCACACAAATGATTTGGGTTTTTAAGCATCTTTTTATATGCGCAGAAATATTGTTAATTTATCACACAACATAATTAATATATTATAGTGGAGAGCGACACTAATTTAATACAATTAATAAAGAACACAAGTGGGCCTTGTGTTAAAAAGTGTCCAGAAAAAGAATTTACTGCTTCCTCTCTCCTTCTCTAACAATTAGCTTTTCTCTTGCTTGCTCCTGGGTTAGTAATTACAGAGAGAAACTGGCTAGCTGTCAGGTTGGGGGGGTGGGGGGGGGGGGGTTCTTTCAGAAGTCTTGCAACTTGTTAAACTACAACTAAGGTCGAAATATAATATCACAAATGTGATGTAGACTGCCTATTCCAAAGGGCCATGTCTCTGCTTTTCTAAATATCTCTGGGACATTTTGTAAAAATGTATTAACCTGGCAAATAGAACCATTGGATTGGCATTTCTTTTAATTGGGAAACAGAACTCTTACTACTGCCACCCTTGTCACCCTTGCTCCTGCTGTAGCTGCTTACATGTTTGTACCAATGCTATCCCTATCAGGGAGTAGCCACACCTAGTTCCACCTGTAGCTCCTAAGACCAACAGCACATTGTTTTAGCTGCAGGAGCTCTGGCATTTAGCAGGCAGGGTGCATGAGAAATTCAGCTTGCCATCTGCATTTATCATTCACTCCCCAAGCTTACCATCTACATGGCACTGAATCCCAAATGGGCACGTGTAAAAGATCTTTAAAGTTGAAGAAAATCCTAACTATAACTATTCATAAAAATGTACTCCCCACCCTCCTCTCCTACCTATCCTGCCCAACCTGTATAAAAAAAAGATGTGTGTACTTACTTATTTTTAATTTGCTCCAGTCCGTTAACCTGATCCTACAGGTCTGGCTCCCCTGAGCAGCTGCTGCAGGGGAAAGGAGGGAGCACAGACAACAGTGCACTCCCTTGCACAGAGCTGTAGAATAACATGACCAGACCAGAGTGGACTGAAAATAGGTGAGTACACAGATCTTTTTTTATACAAGTTAGGAGGAGGGAACATTTTTAAGAATAGTTATAGTTAGGATTTTCTTCCACTTTTTTTTTTTGACCAAGAAGGCGAAATGTTTTTATTAAATAAAAAACAGGAGATTACAGTTTAAAGCATTGAGTTGTACAAAAGTTGAACAGGAATGGTTACTAACAGCCAAACAAACTAAAAAGAGACAACCCCATGGTGGCAATATATGTAGAACACAGATCATAACACAGTAGTGGAGACCTGCACAAAAGATTAATTTGCCAGTGGCAGAAAATAATCAGCACATCCCCATATGAAGAAGATATGCCTTCCTCAGGGAGATAATAATTGGGAAAGATACATACATCTATATGGATGTTAATAAAAAAGCAAGTGTATGTCCAATATATGAAGTTAATCCAAACCTTCATTATCTAAGTACAGGTATCAGCAGATTGCAGCCAACGATCCCAAATGTTATTATATTTGACAGGGCAGCCTCTATTAACATATGTAATTTTCTTTAAAGGGAGGATGGTATGAATATCTGCCATCCACTTCTCTAGTGTAGGAGGAGGTGCCTGCATCCAATGGTGGGCTATCAATTTCCTGGCACTAAACAAAGTTTTATGTAAAAACGTAGCAAAATACCTATCAGCATCTGGATCAGGGAAAATTCCCAATAAACATGGTCTAGGATCCAAGGAAACAGTGGAGCCCATACGGTCATGCAAGAACTGGATCACCTGAATCCAAAATCCATTTATTCGCGGACAGTGCCAAAGCAGATGTGAGAACTTGCCCAGAGATATATGGCATTTGGGGCAATAAGAATCTCTATCACGGGAAAGTTGTCACTAAATTGAGATGTTAAAGCATGCCGTACCTGAAGGTAATGGAATAACATATAATTTGGAAGGGAGAACTCTTGTTTCAGAACCTCAACATTTTTTAACACCCCACTGGATAGTACATGAGAAATAAGGTATATACCTTTAGAGATCCACAGCCTGTGGTCAGAAATAGTTAGGAGTTCAGGCAATAACCGACTGGACCAAAGAGGAGTGTTTATATGGAACTGTGAGGCATTTATGTTAGAGTTGGAGAGGTCCCAGATCCTTTTATAATGGAAGGCCATCCCTTTGGTAGAGGACTGCGTAGCAGATCCCCGAATACCCCTGGTAATGTCACAGAATGGGTGTAGACTTGCTGGAATTTCTGGGTCATAGACTAAAGCATTACATTTCTTCCTTTCAGTTTTATCAATATGATAAATATGGGAAAGTTGGGCAGCTAGATAATACAGTTCAAGATCCGGTAGAGACGTACCCCCCAGGGTGGTTGGGCCAATTTATGTCGGCAGTTACCCCAGATAAAGGATGTCAGGATCATGTCCATAGTCTAAAAGGTACCTAAGTGAGATGATTTTCTTCTACTTTAAACGTACATTTCATCAACACCGTCAAAACCCTTGTCCAGAACCAATAGAAAAGCACAACGCCTTCCACCTTCACTGAATGGAAAGACAGATTTAACCAAATAGCCCAAAAGGAGAAGGCTCAAAGCGCAATGCACTCTAAACAAGTACACACCTACATGGACTATTTGATTACGGTTTAGATTCACTTCTCTTGGTCCCTGTCAAGCTGAATGAGGATATGTATATACACATACATACAGCATGCATACCGTTACACACCTGTGCCAGCATTGATGCTCCTTTTAGGATCCCCAAGTGTAATGAGAAGTGACTCGCAGGGAATCCCTCTGCCTTCTTTTGCCCTTTGGGGGCAAATTACTACAACACAACACATTTCTGGTGGTCCCTTCCTCCCCTACCTTGCCCTAGCCCAAGATCCCTCATGACACTTCTCTCTTCCTCCATTCCCTTTTCTTTAAGATTTTTTTAAAAAGAAACTTGCATCTGCTATGCCCCCCAGTAAACAACAAGAATATGAAAATTAAGATATAACCACTTGAAAGCATTACCAAAATAGTTTAATGTTGCTACAAATTTAATCTGAAAAAAAAGAAGATATTTTATAAAAGGAGAAGCAACTGAAGCAGAGCACTACAAACATATTACCAACCCAGTACTGAATTCTCTTTTGTTGAAACATATACTTTATGATACATTGGATTTAGTATGGGATACATACCTTTTTTAAGCTGAATCTTTCTGCAATGTGCAGCCCATAATCTAGATCAGAAATAAAAGAAAATCATGTAAACATTTATTAACTTTCATTCCCTATACTTACAGAACAGGTACTGCACTCATATTTGCCAGCCAAGGAGTTAAGTTAAATTTTATTTATATAAATACCCATGGGGGTACATAAATAGATCACAGGAGGTAAAGACCAAGCAAAATCTGTCTATATATAAAAAAAAAAAACAGCAACCCAAAGAGAGGAGGTGGGAGGGAAGTTAACAATTATCCTAGAGCTAGGCTTCAAAGGAAACTGTACTGATAGAAAATTCCTCATCTTGGAGTACAGTACAGGACACAGGAAATGTACACTATATTGCCAAAAGTATTGGGACGCCTGCCTTTACACTTACATGAACTTTAATGGCTTCCCAGTCTTAGTCCGTAGGGTTCAATATTGAGTTGGCCCACCCTCTGCAGCTATAACAGCTTCAACTCTTCTGGGAAGGCTGTCTACAAGGTTTAGGAGTGTGTCTACAGGAATGTTTGACCATTCTTCCTGAAGCGCATTTGTGAGGTCAGGCACTGATGTCTGACGAAAAGGCCTGGCTCACAGTCTCCAATCTAATTCATCCCAAAGGTGTTTTATAAAGTTGAGGTCAAGACTCTGTGCAGGCCAGTAAAGTTCCTCCACCCCAAACTCGCTCATCCATGTCTTTATGGACTCTGCTTTGTGCACTGGTGCGCAGTCATGTTGGAACAGGAAGGGGCCATCCCTAAACTGTTCCCACAAAGTTGGGAGCATGAAATTGTCCAAAATGTCTTGATATGCTGATCTCTTAAAAGTTCCCTTCACTGGAACTAAGGGGCCAAGCCCAACCACTGAAAAACAACCCCACACCATAATCTTCTCTACACCAAACTTTACACTGTGCACAATGCAATCAGGCAAGTACCATTCTCCTGGCAACCGCCAAACCCAGACACATCCATCGGATTGCCAGATAGAGAAGCATGATTCGTTACTCCAGAGAACACATCTCCATTGCTTCAGAGTCCAGTGACGGCGTGTTTTACACTACTGCATTCGACACTTTGCATTGCACTTGGTGATGTAAGGCTTGGATGAAGCTGCTCAGCCATGGAAACCCATTCCATGAAGCTCTCTACTCACTGTTGTGTTAATCTGAAGGCCATATGAAGTTTGGAGGTCTTTAGCTATTGACTCTGCAGACGGTGACTTCTGTGCATGCACTGACCCAGCTCTGTTATTTTTTGTGGCCTCACACTTTGCGAGTTGCTGTTGCTCCCAGTTGCTTCCACTTTGTTATACTACCACTAACAGTTGACCGTGCAATATTTATTAGCACGGAAATTTCAAGGATTTCCTGCAGTTTTCCTGCCTCTGTAATTCTTACCTCCTTGATGCAGTACTTCTCATATTCCTGTATCCCTTTCTCATGTGTTGTTTGGCCTCTGTGCTCACTTATGGGTGTCACCTGCTATTCTGTGGGTTTATATATCCTTGAGCTTCTAACACTTCCTGGCCCGCTTTCCAGTTTGCTTGCCTATATAAGACTTGCTCAGTGTAGCCTGTGTTGCCTGAGAAACTTCCCAGTTCTCTGAGCTCCTGTTTGCCTACTATTGCCTGTATTCAGTGTCTGACTTCCCGTGTACCAAACCTGGCTTTGTCTACCGTCTGTGCTTGCCTGCCACCCATCCTGACCTTGGCTTGTTTCCTGGATTTCCTTCTGTCTTCTGCCATTTGTACTCTGCACATGTCAGTGGTCTCTTCATGGGTCCTCAGCTGAGCATACCTGGGGGCAGTGACCTGGTTCCAGCTTGCTGCAAGTCCATCCCCACCATCAGGGGACCTGGTGAAGAAGCAGGCTGGGGCTGAGACTCCATGCCCTGGGGAACCCCAAGTTGGTGATCTACAAGCGCTAACTATCACAGACACCTAACAATCCTATTCTTACAGTACAGGACACATGAGTAGCATGCATAGACTAAGGGGCGAGCAAAAAGATAGCAACACAGAACTGCCAACAGGCCAAAAAAGAAACACAAAGGTTAAAAAAACCTAAAACACTCAAACTGAAGCAATTTGAAGAATGCCCTGGAAATAGGTTGCTGATCAATCTAGCAATGCTGGAGTGGGAAGCAGAATGTTCTCTACGAGGACCTTGAAGTAGTACAAAGGTGGACTCAGCGGTGGGAATAGAGGTGACCAGGAAGGCAACCTAAAAATACAGCCATGCTGTTAATGCAAGTGGCTGAGAAAATAATGGAATAGAGGAGGCCTTAGAAAATGTTAGAAATTGGAAATTGTTGGAAAATTTTGCTTCGATCAATGCTGCAGCCAGTGAATTCTGGCAGTGAAGGAGTCTGATGTTGCTGTGACAGGAAGATAGGGATGTGTATATAAGATTCTTGTATGTTTACTGATGCCAGAAATCCCCATTATCTGAGAGAAGCAATGACAGATTTTGTTCATTCTATCTGGAAGTTTGGTACACAAAAGGGATTTGTTAGCAATGTTAAGTCCAGTACTGGGTGGATGGACTATTTGGCTCAGAAAGGGAAATTGTGTTCTCCTTGTACCCAAAGGCATTGGATTCTCCCTGGGTTAACATTCCACATTAATATTCGTATAGCCATTAATACTTTGCTTCAGAAAAGGTTAGAGGTTTTCCTTAATGCACAATCTACAGAGTTGCCTAGATTTGCTCCTGTGTAAATCTATTCCATGTTTTCACAAATCTTACAGAAAGGACCCTGTTTGTGAATGTTAAACTTAATATCCTCCAGGGGCAAAGAAAACACCCTTCCCTTTTATGAACAAAGTTTTCCTGAGTTTATTTTATGGACCTTTTATTTGTAAAAGGTGAATTTATCCCCTTTTAATCACCTCTTCAGAAACATGAACACATTCAGATCGGCAATGTGAACCACAAAAGATGTGTATCTCTATTGTGTATTAAACCATTCAAATAAATATTAATATGGTAACAATAATCAATCACTACAAATATATATATATATATATATATATTTATATATATATATATAAAACTTAAAACCATTAAAAAAGGAGCTCAGCCACACATGGGGAAACTGGACATACAGTATCCATTAATCAATACCCCTTTACAGGATATGGCTCCAACAAAAGTTTATTGAATATTAAACGTGATTGTAATGTTAGCACTGGTAATGACTGGAACTGTTTTTCAACAAAGCTGCCAAAGTGAAATTTCTGAAAGTGAAAAAGTCCAAGAGGTAGTGGTAGAGAGGCACTGGACATGGATTTACACAGGTAATGAAAATGCAGACAAAGTTATTACTTGAGCCAAATTGGCCTGTATTCGGCAGATCACCACAAAGGAAGGGCCCTCAGGAGAGAAAAATTCAACTGCAACAGGTCAAGAGCAAAGTGAAATATATTTAGGAGTTCAAAGTCTTGACAACAAGGAGGTCAAACGACAGCCAATGTGTTTCTGGGGCCAAGCAATGCCCCTTCACCAGGGCTAGTACAGTGCCTTGAAAAAGTATTCATACTCCTTGAAATGTTTAAAATTTTCTTATGTTACAACCAAAAATGTAAATGTATTTTATTGGAATTTTATGTGATAGACCACCACAAAGTGGCACATAATTGTGAAGTTGAAGGAAAATTATAAATGGTTTTAAAATTTTTTACAAATAAATATCTGAAAAGTGTGGCATGCATTTGTATTCAGCCCCCTGGGTAAATACTTTGTAGAACCATCTTTCACTGCAGTTACCGCTGAAAGTCTTTTTGGGGATGTCTCTACCAGCTTTGCACATCTAAAGAGTGACGGTTTTCCCCCTTCTTCTTTGCAAAATAGCTCAAGCTCTGTCAGATTGGATGGAGAGTGTCTGTGAACAGCAATTTTCAAGTCTTGCCACAGATTCTTAATTGGATTTAGATCTGGACGTTGACTGGGCCATTCTAACACTTGAATATGCTTTGACCTAAACCATTCCATTGTAGCTCTGGCTGTATGTTTAGGGTCGTTGTCCTGCTGGAAGGTGAACCTCTGCCCCAGTCTCAAATCTTTTGCAGACTCTAACAGGTTTTCTTCTAAGATTGCCCTATATTTGGCTCCATCCATCTTCCCGTCAACTCTGAACAGCTTCCCTGTCCCTGCTGAAGAAAAGCATTCCCACAACATGATGCTCGCACCACCATGTTTCATGGTGCGGATGGTGTGTTCAGAGTGATGTGCAGTGTTTACTTTTCCACCACACAAAGCGTTTTGCTTTCAGGTAAATAACTTAAATTTTGTTCTCCTCTGAACAGAGCACCTTTTTTCACATGTTTGCTGTACCCCCCAAATGGCTTCTCGCAAACTGCAAACGGGACTTCTTATGGCTTTCTTTCAACAATGGCTTTCTTCTTGTCACTCTTCCATAAAGGCCAGATTTGTGGAGTGCACAAATAATAGTTGTCCTGTGGACAGATTCTCCCACCTGAGCTGTGGATCTCTGCATCTCCTCCAGAGTTACCATGGGCCTCTTTGTTGCTTCTCTGATTAATGTTCTCCTTGCCCGCCTGTCAGTTTAGGTGGATGGCCATGTCTTGGTAAGTTTGCATTTGTGCTATACTCTTTCCATTTTCGGATGATGGATTGAACAGTGCTTTGTGAGATGTTCAAAGTTTGGGATATTTTTTTTATACCCTAACCCTACTTTAAACTTCTCCACAACTGTATCCCTGACCTGTCTGGTGTGTTCCTTGGCCTTCGTGATGCTGTTTGTTCACTAATGTTCTTTAACAAACCTCTGAGGGCTTCACAGAACAGCTGTATTTATAATGAGATTAAATTACTCACAGGTGGACTCTATTTACTAATTAGGTGACTTCTAAAGGCAATTGGTTGCACTAGATTTTAGTTAGGGGTATCAGAGTAAAGGGGACTGAATACAAATGCACGTCACACTTTTCAGATATTTGTAAAACATTTTGAAAACCATTTATCATTTTCCTTCCACTTCACAGTTGTGTGCCACTTTGTGTTGGTCTATCGCATAAAATCTCAATAAAAAACATTTAAGTTTTTGGTTGTAACATAACAAAATGTGGAAAATTTCAAAGGGTATGAATACTTTTTCAAGGCACTGTATGTATGAATGTGAAATAGGGACCTTGTAAGCTCCCTGAGAGTAGGAACAGATGTGAATGCACAGTATATTGCTGCGTAAATTGTAATAAAGTACCTGTAATAAATAAATAATGGTAGAGTGTTAAATGGACTCAAAAGTACTGCTAAGCAGACTGATCTGCAGGTGTAAGATGTTATAAACAACACTCAATATTGGTGTTCACAGTAGAATTTGCCTATGCTACTGTGAACCCCAGCAATGACTGTTGTGTGTAATATCTTCTGCCTGCAAATCAGCACTGACATGGTGCTCACAAGGATTGGTTTATTAACAAAGACATATCAGTAAGCATTGTTACTGCACTACTTTTTTTAAAAGCATTTGTATAAAAAAAAATACAATAACTGCTAAATGTATAGCTGTCCCATTGCGTGCTATTAATTAGCCAATTTCTAAAAAATTACCAATTCCCCAAACAAGCTTATGTGATTTGATAAAAAAACATGTTTTAAGCATCTTTGTGAAAGATATAGATTGAAAAAGTCATCCACAAATCATTAACCATTAGCTCATTTTTGGCTGTATGTCTCTTGTATTTTCTAGCAAAATGGGGAATGTTATGTTTTACACAGTATAATATGTAAACATACAGTGGATATAAAAAGTCTACACACACCCCTGTTAAAATGTCAGGTTTCTGTGATGTTAAAAAATGAGACAAAGATAAATAATTTCAGAACTTTTTGCACCTTCAATGTGACCTATGAACTGTACAACTCAATTGAAAACAAACTGAAATCTTTTCGGGAGGGGAAGTAAATATAAAAAACTAAAATAATGTGGTTGCACATGTGTGCCCACCCTCTTATAAATGGGGATATGTAGCTGTGTTCAGAATTAAGCAATCACATTCAAAAATCATGTTAAATAGGAGTCAGTACACACCTGCCATCATTTAAAGTGCCTGTGATTAACTCCAAATAAAGTTCAGCTGCTCTAGTAGGTCTTTCCTGACATTTTCTTAGTTGCCTCCTACAGCAATAGCCATGGTCCGCAGAGAGCTTCCAAAGCATCAGAGGGATCTCATTGTTAAAAGGTATCAGTCAGGAGAAGGTTACAAAAGAATTTCCAAGGCATTTGATATACCATGGAACACAATGAAGACAGTCATCATCAAGTGGAGTAAATATAGTGCAACAGTGACATTACCAAGAACTGGACGTCCCTCCAAAATGGATGAAAAGACGAGACGAAAACTGGTCTGGTAGGCTGCCAAGAGTCATACAGCAACATTAAAGGAGCTGCAGGAATATCTGGCAAGTACTGGCTGTGTAGTACATGTGACAACATTCTCCTGTATTCTTCAATGTCTGGGCTATGGGGTAGAGTGGCAAGACGGAAGCCTTTTCTTACAAAGAAAAACATCCAAGCCCAGTTAAATTTTGCAAAAACACATCTGAAGTCTCCCAAAAGCATGTGGGAAAATGTGTTATGGTCTGATGAAACCAAGGTTTAACTTTTTGGCCATTATTCCTAAAGATATGTTTAGCGCAAAAACAACACTGCACATCACCAAAAGAACACCATACCCAGAGTGAAGCATAGTGGTGGCAGCATCATGCTTTGGGGCTGTTTTTCTTCAGCTGGAACGGAGAGGGAATTATGAACAGTTCCAAATACCAGTCAATATTGGCACAAAACCTTCAGGCTTCTGCTTGAAAGATGAACATGAAGAGGAACGTCATTTTTCATCATGACAACGATCCAAAGCATACATCCAAATCAACAAAGGAATGGCTTCACCAGAAGAAGATCCAAATTTTGTAATGGCCCAGCCAGAGCCCAGACCTGAATATGATCGAAAATCTGTGGGGTGGTCTGAAAAGCGCAGTGTACAGGAGATGCCCTCGCAATCTGACAGATTTGAAGTGTTTTTGCAAGGAAGAGTGGGCAAATATTGCCAAGTCAAGATTTGCCATGCTGACAGACTCATACCCAAAAAGAGTGCTGTAATAAAATCAAAAGGTGCTTCAACCAAGTTGTACAGTTTATAGCTTACATAAGGTGGAAAAAGTTCTGAAATGATTTATCTTTGTCTCGTTTTTTTACATCACAGAAACCTGACATTTTAAGAGGGTTGTGTAGACTTTGTATATCCACTGTACATTACATGTGAGGACATAAATATAAATCCACCTCTACATTACCACAGTATGAAAATGACAAGCTGTACCTGTGTTTCCGTTTCTTCTTCTGAGCAGTGCTCAGTAGCTCTTTGGCAGGCACTTTCAGAATGAGTGAATCTTTAACAGCAAACTGAAAAACCTTAAAAAAAAAAAAATGTACAATTATATAACACTTCTCTTTTTGCAGCCTAAGTGCACAGCTAGTGCTTTCCTATCAAACAACCCAGCATGCACTGCACAATGAAACATGGAAGAACCCTTTATTAAAAAAGTAAAGTTTCTTTTTACAAAGGCACTGTCCTCTACACTATATTGCCAAAAGTATTGGGATACCTCCCAAATCATTGGATTCAGGTCTTCCAATCAGCTCCATGGCCAGAGGTGTATAAAATCAAGCACCTAGGTATGCAGACTGCTTCTACAAACATTTGTGAAAGAATGGGTCGCTCCCAGGAGCTCAGTGAATTAAAGCGTGGTACCGTGATATGTTGCCACCTGTGCAATAAGTCCATCCGGGAAATTTCCTTGCTACTAAAATATTCCAGTCAACTGTTAGTGGTATTATATACCAAAGTCGAAGCAACTGGAAGCAACAACAACTCAGCCACAAAGTGGTAGGCCACGTAAAATGACAATGCAGGGTCAGCGCATGCTGATACGCACAGTGCACAGAAGTCGCCAACTGTCTGCAGAGTCAATAGCTAAAAACATCCAAACTTCGTGTGGCCTTCAGATTAGCACAACAACAGTGTATAGAGAGCTTCATGGAATAGGTTTCCATGACCGAGCAGCTGCTTCCAAGCCTTACATCACCAAGTGCAATGCAAAGCATCAGATGCAGTGGTGTAAAGCACGCCGTCACTGAACTCTGAAGCAATGGAGACGTGTTCTCTGGAGTGACGAATCATGCTTCTCTATCTGACAATTGGATGGATGTGTCTGGGTTTGGTGGTTGCCAGGAGAACAGTACTTGCCTGACTGCATTGTGCCAAGTGTAAAGTTTGGTGTAGGGAGGATTATGGTGTGGGGCTGTTTTTCAGGTGTTGGGCTTGGCCTCTTAGTTCCAGTAAAGGGAACTCTTAAGGTGTCAGCATACCAAGACATTTTGGACAATTTCATGTTCCCAACTTTGCAGGAAGAGTTTGGGGATGGCCCGTCCTTGTTCCATCATGACTGCACACCAGTGCACAAAGCAAGGTCCATAAGGACATGGATGAGTGAATTTGGGGTGGAGGAACTTGAATGACCTGCACAGAGACCTGACCTCAACCTGATAGAACACCTCGTCCGGGCATCAGTGCCTGACCTCACAAATGTGCTTCAGGAAGAAAGGTCAAACATTCCCATAGACACACTCCTAAAGCTTGTGAACAGCCTTCCCAGAAGAGTTAAAGGTGTTATAGCTGAAAAGGGTGGGCCAACTCAATATTGAACAATATGGACTAAGACTGGGAAGCCATTAAAGTTCATGTGGGTATAAAGGCAGGAGTCCCAATACTTTTGGCAATATAGTGTATGTAGGCAAAGAATATACAATCTTGGATCCTGCCCACACCCCCCCCACCCCCCCAAGTAAGAAGTTACAGATTAGCCGAGGCCTCCGTACCTGTTTGCATGTCTTTGTGCCCATGAGTTTAGCAATAGAACAGAAATTGTTGAAATAGGTTCCATGGAAAACCCTGAAGAGAGATTCCTCAGCTCCAGACCACTCCACTGGCTCACTAGGTTCTGAAACATCTGGCAACTCTCCACTCCCACTCCCCTGCCTCTGCCTAGTGGGTGTTTGGCATCGTGAATTACCCTCTGAAAAAAAGACAAGTGTACATCAAAAAATCAAATAAAAAAATTAATTTTGACTTGCCTATAATTTACATACCTTGGGATGCAGTACAGTAAAAAGGCTGGATATTTATTGGCCCTGGTTTATAGGCTGCTAGCTTCAGGTGACTGGACACTAGCAAAGCTTTGTTGGGCGCAATCCATTGAAAAACCTCTGTTGAAATACCCTATAACCCTACCCTACTCTGTGAGACCTCAGTTTTTTAGCAAGCAATGCAGAGTAACACAGGAACATAAGAGAGGGGTAGCCAGTGACCTGCACTGTACTCCAAGATATGGAATTTATGGGTTATCAAAAAATTCCTTTTAACGTAATCATGCAGTACAGGACATAGACTGGATATTCATAGATCCTGGGACCTTGCAAAGCTTGGCAAAAGAGCTTGATGTAGAATTCCCAGGAAACACTTCTGGTGGAGTGAGCACTTAAGAGTGCTGGAGGTGCTTTATTCTTTTGCATGTGAGCTGTTGAGATAAGTTGTATTATTCACCTAGCAATGGGGAATTTTACAGCAGTGTGTCCTATGGGAGGCACTGATGATAAATCAAGAGTGAGTCAGTCAGGAAGTGCTGATGAGACAGGTAAATGGGAATATGTAAATAAATAACTTGGATGTCTACTAATGTTGAGTATTCCCCTTGTCTCAGAAAGGCAATAACCAGCCATCTGGATTCCATGAGAAAGTTTGAAACATGAAGGAACTTGTTTAGAGATCTTACATCCAGAATAGGATAAGGGGAACAAGAGATGGTTCAGGGTGGTTTGCAAATCTGACCATCCTTGAGAAGATTGTGGTTGATTTGAGATAAGAAAAATGAAGAGGGGGCTGAACTTTGAACTGTTCTTTTTCCCCTTAAAACCACCAATTGAACGCACAGGTCTAGGACGTCTGGGACACAGAGAAAGGCAAACTGTAAACAATTACCCCCCTGCTCTTTGGAGTGAGGGCACCCCATCATTGTGAAGAGGGTTTTTAAGTCAACCTGGAATTTTTTTTTGGTCCAAGTCTTACGCCAAAAGGAAGAACTGAGTTTTGTCTTTAATGATAAAGCCCGAGGAAGGCAATGGGGCACTCTACTTTTTTGAAGTGGTAGAAATCCCCTGAAAGGGGGTTTTGGAACCCTCCATTGTGGAAGAAGGACCCTTTCCACCTGTGACATGTTTGATGAATTTTTCAACTAATAGATGTCCTCCTTCAAAGGGCATATGTGTGAGGCAACTTTTGAAAGCAACTTCAGCTGACCAGGCTTTTAGCCATACAATTCTGTGCTTACAGACAGAAATGGGAGCCATTCTGGAGATCTGTGCCATGACCTGTTCTAGGGCAGGAAGGCAGAATCCTGCTGATGTTCATTGACCTAGATCAATTGGCTGTAGTTTGGCAAACAAATATAGCAGCAATAGCCGCTTGCAGAGCGTTAAACAGAGTCTTTAAAGGATAAGTCACCTTTTAAAATAAAATAACCAAAAAATAATAAATACACATTTTTCTGCAGATAAAAAAATGTGTATACAGCGGCCAGGAGAAGTATTTCTATGTGTTGGTTATCCTCTACTCCACCTTCATTGCCAACTTTGTATAAACTTATTGCCGATGTAAGACAGATGGAGTGTTTGACTGCTTCACATAGTGGTTCGTTTGCTGTATTTGAGATGATCTGGCTCCCGTGGGATAATTTCTCCTCCTCTATGCTGGCCCGAAATGTAAGACCCTGATTATTAACGCACTGTTATTATATGGCTCCATTGGTCTTGACTAAATGTAATCCTTGCCATCGATGTACTTCTCTGTTTTGCTTGTCTTTTTTGTTTTTCTCTCCTTTGTTTTCTGTAACATATGATTTCTTTGAAAACCAATAAAAAATTGTTAATATTAAAAAAAAAAAAAAAAAAGTGTATTTATTGTTTCTGGAGTCTGTAAAGCATTGCACCAGCAATTAGCAGATTGCTGGTGCCATGCAGGTCTCCTGCAAATCTGTCAGTGTATCTGTGTGCCCGTATACCTTGTACAGGCAAGCAAATACTTACTGACAGGAAGGCTCAATGAACTACCAAGGCGCTCCATGTGGTAGTTCATTGAGAACTACAAGCCAACAGCTGCAAAGGCTGCCAGAACTTGTAGTGTTCTCATTCAAAGAATGCTGTTTTTTTTTACATTTTGACCGCTAGTGGGAGGGAGAAGATACCTCACTAGTAAACGAAGATGAGGGTGGGTGCAGAAGGCCCGTCTATTCGTAACATGTTACATGGTACACCCATATTTTATGTTATGAGAGGTGAACTTAACTTTAAAAGTTCTCAAATTTTCTGTCAGCAGAATCTTTAAATAAAGGAACATCTTCTAAATGTACACTAAAATGTTTGCTTAAGAGCCTTAGATGGCAGGGTCTACTACAGGTACAGACCACTTGAGTTCAGCAAAGATTCTCAGCAGGGTGAAAACCTTTTCAGGGTTAGCACAATCATCATAAATTACCTATTCTGCCTATCAGTTTATGAATGGGAAATGTCTTTTAAGACTTCAAAGAAAATCAAGTGCAACAATGCAGAGGCTTTTGCACACAGCAGATGTGAGCAAGCACATTGTGGGAAGCCATGCCATGAATTGTTTAGGAGCCTGGGGGTGAGAAATCTTCAGCAACATCCTGTAACACCCTCTATGGATCCTCTTTGTTTTCTAGAGGAGACACTTCACTTTCAACTTTCCACAAAGATCGAGAGGGTGCAGAAGGAGCTTGGTAAGTTCACCTTTTAACAAAAAAATAATAAATGCATTTTTTTTTAGCTTTAGACAGTCTTCTATAGGATAGTAGTTCAATTCATATATACTAATACTGTTACGCTGTGTCCTTCAGTAATCATAAATATAAAAAGTACATATGAATTTTAACACTTGTATTTTTGAGTGCAGCTGTTATACATTTTTATGATTTATTTTTGGCACTGAACAGTTTTCTCTTTTTATATATAGGATATTAGTTGTGGAAGAGAGTCTGACAAAGGCTCTGCCTTGGTCAGATAGGATGCCCGTTGCGTGCCTCAGATAGAGGTACAATGAAATGCAGAGACCAGTATTAAAATAGAGGTCTGCCGCTTCTACGCTAAACCAGATCCCTTCCCCGTGGCTCAAGTAGAGGCATTCTTTCAAGATCTCCGACTTCCTGGGTCATCCGAGGCAGCACAGGTGGCACTCAACGCCGGTGTCACTGTACCAGAAGTGCTCCAAGCTATCAAATCTTTACGGTCCACCGCGGCCCCAGGTCCCGACGGCTTTTTTCCGGTCTTTATTATAAGAAGTTCTCAGCCTTGTTGGCGCCCTTTTTGGCTGACTATTTTAATGCGTTACGACAGGGCTCCTTGCCCTCTCCAGATGCGCTTAGAGCGCATATCGCCATGATTCCTAAGACGACCGATGATGTAAAGGAACCGCAAGCCTTCCGGCCTATTTCTCTTCTGAATGAAGACCTGAAGATACTGGGCAAGATCCTTAGTTTTCGCATCAATAAATATTTGCGTAGCCTGGTCCACAGGGACCAGGTAGGGTTCGTCCCCGGGAGGCAGGCGGGTGATAACGTTCGTAAGGTGGTCCATCTTATACATTTTCTGCAACAGCGGAAAATCCCAGGATTCGTACTCTCTTTAGACATATATAAAGCCTTTGATTCTCTATCCTGGGAATATCTGCGGTTTGTACTGTCTCGTTGGGGTTTTGGGGATTCTATTCTTTCTTGGATTCTGGCCTTGTATTCTTCTCCTTCGGCCTCCGTTAAATACACTGGGTATTTTTCAGATCCCTTTCCTATTGGGCGAGGGACGAGACAGGGTTGCCCCCTGTCCCCAGCGCTCTTTGTCCTGGAGCTTGAGCCGCTGGCTTTAGCGCTTCGGACCGATTGCAATGTATCGGGGGTTCCTTACGCGGGACAGGAGTTCAAACTGAACCTTTTTGCAGACGATGCCCTCCTGACTCTTACTAACCCCCTGACGATGCTTCCTAATTTGCAACAGGTTCTTGAGCGCTTCTCCTTGATTTCGGGTCTCCGTATTAACTTGGATAAGGCTGTCGCCCTCAATATTACTTTGGCTTCAGATTTGGTTTCGCGCTTACAATCCCATTTCCCTTACAAATGGGCTTCCTCTTCTCTTGAATACTTAGGCATTCGCTTGACCGCCACTTATGACTCCTTGTTTGCTGCAAATTATTATCCATTGCTTAGCTCTCTATCCTCTCTTATGCATTCTTGGCAATTTCCGCACCTGTCTTGGATAGGACGGGTTAATTCGGTGAAAAATGACCATCTTGTCGAAATTGTTGTATTATTTTCACACACTCCCGATGCAGGTTCCCCCTCATTTTCTTCGGTTGCTTCAGGCGAAGTTAATGCATTTTATCTGGGCCGATAAGCACCCCAGAGTATCCAAAAGTACGCTTTTTTGCCCATAGACTTCAGGGTGGTCTTGGGGTGCTAATGTGACTAAGTATTATCAAGCGAGCCAGATTGCCCCGCTGTCTATGTTGCACGCCTCTTCCGACGTCCCCCTCTGGGTCCTGTTGGAACTACCTAATTGTGCCCCTATCGCACTGTCGACGCTTCTATGGCTTCCCCCTTCCCTGCGCCCTATGGCACGGAGTCCGATTTACTTCATGGCCTACAAGTCTGGGACTCGGTACGTTATTCTGGTGGCCTGATGTCACCTTTTCTGCCTTTGCTCCCAATTATTAACAACCCTCTTTTCCCACCGGGTTTAGATCACCCAGGGGCGTTTTCTTGGTGGGTGACTAATGGTTTTTCGCAGGTGCGACACTTTTTGATTTTTCGGTCCTTTCCCACCTGGAACTCTCTTCGGGAATCCCAGAATATCCCCCCGGCGGAATTCTTTCGATATCTTCAATTGCGACACTGGCTGCTCTCGCTGCGGGGTACTTCTGCTTTCCCGTACCAGAAATCTGCCTTTGAACAGCTTT